CTTGAGCTCCAGCTCTGCAGAGGGATTTTTGGCTGATGACTGTTGCAAAGATGGTTCACTGAGTGTCAGACTTCTTGGTACAAGGCTACATTAGCTTTCCAATGTACATCTAAGCAAGACTAGCCCAGGCACAGGCATTTGCTGGCAGCAGGAGGGGATTTACTGACTTCTCCGGCTTGCAAAGGCATCAGGAACTGAAGGCTGACCTCCTTGTCTGATCTTTCTGTTCCAAATCCAGTTACAGGTTGTGCTGGTTTTGGCTGGGATGGAGTTCATTTTCCTCCTAGTAGGTAGTATGGGGTTGTGGTTTGGATCTGTGCTGAACCCAGTGCTGATAACACAGGGATGTTTTTGTCACCGCTGAGCAGGGCTTACACAGAGCCAAGGCCTTTTCTGCCTCTCCCCCCACCCCCAGCGAGCAGCCTGGGGGTGCACAAGGAGCTGGGAGGGGACACAGCGGGGACAGCTGACCCCAGGGGTATCCCCCACCTGACAGCTCATGCTCAGCTGGGGGAGGAGGAGGAAGGGGGGGACGTTCGCAGTGGTGGCGTTTGTCTCCCCAAGTCACCGTTACGCGTGATGGAGCCCGGCCGTGCTGGAGATGGCTGAGCACCCGCCTGCCCATGGGCAGGGGGCCATGAATTCCTTGTGTTGCTTTGCTTGCACGCCTGGATTTTGCTTTGCCTATTAAACTGTCTATATCTCAACCCACAAGTTTTCTCACTTTTACCCTTCCAATTCTCTCTGGGGGGAGTGAGCAAGCAGCTGTGTGGGATTTAATTGCTGGCTGGGGTTAAACCATGACACAGGTAGAAACTCTCCTTGATAAATAACCTGTCAAAAATGTCAATTTTCCTCTTGAAGGAGGTAAGACTGAAATTTGCTTTAGATTCTAATAGCCAAGGGCAAGAACACTAATGGCTTAGAGTAAATGCCTTCCTGCAGTCATAAATCCTTCTTCTTGGGGGATAAAGGACTTAGAGGATGATAAACAATCTCAAAATTCCTTCTTTCTTTTACTTTAAGTGAAAAATGCAACTCTATTGAGTCAGCTGAAGTCAGCCACATCAATCTCAGTGGTGATTTTCCATTTGTTGCATCCAGCAACCCATTGATAGCATCCCTAAATGAATGTTTCATTGAGGAATGCAGACAGAAATGGGAGGCAGCAATTATTTGACCAATTTAAATCTGGAACATTTCACGCAGCTTCTTCCAGGAAAAGAATTGCTGTAAGATGTGTCCGTACCACTTAACCTGGAGATTTTTCTTAAGCCAAAGCCCAGCTGATGCTTCAGCTCTTGGTGGTTTTCTACTGACAAGCATTGCAGGCACCATCTCCTTCCAAGGGACAGCTTCATCCAGAAATACTCGTGCAGCAGTTTGTCGTCGCACGTCACTAGGAACAGGAAAATCCACGTGTCTGCAATGATGCTTATGCGTGGGGGGAGTGTAAGGCCTTTCAAAAAGAAGCCCACACTCCCTTTCTCCAGCTGTGTCAGACCATTACGTGCTAACTACTGTTTGAGTTAAGGGATGGGGCACAGCTGCAGTTTTCTTAAAGCATGTTATTAACAGTATCAGCATAACCACTCAGACTCAAAAGGCATCCTGTTGCTTAACCATGAGAGAAAGCACCCTGATTATTTTAATTTTTTTTTTTCTCCAACACCTGGTGTAAGAAATGGAAAAAGAAAATTATTTTGAGGCAATGGACTCAAAGTTGCCCATCAGTGGAGTGTGCAATAGGAGTCTGCTGAGGACAGCAGCTGAGCACAAAGCAGTGCTGCAGTCTAGCCCTTCGCTCTCTTATGTCCCAGATCAAAGGAATATATAGGGATGAACTTGTGTCTGCTGGATAAAATAATGTTGCAAATAAGGACAGGTCATGAAACCACCTGGTGACTATCTCGTGCTTTCAGGTTTTATTTTTTACATCATTAGGCATGCATGAGTTAGTGTGACATTTTGGTCTGGATAGATGCTGCTCGGTGTGACTGGTGTTTTAGAGCTTGGCTGCAGCTCTGAGTATAAACATAACCCCATCTGAGGCAGAAAAGTTGCAAAGATGATGGCTCATCAGTGCAACCTTTTGCTCTTGTATGTCTCTTATTAAACCAGACCTCTTCTGTGCTCAGCCAGTGATAAATAACAGAGATTTAGTACTTCATACCTACCTCTGAAATATTTGAATGAGAGCTCTCTGCAGTAATCTTTGAAAACAGGCCGCCGTGCTGTATGAAGACAGCAATTTTCCCCTCCAAAATCAAATGATTCTAGCAAAAATCAGAAAGATGATGTGGAGGAACTATAGTCAATTCACTCTTTAAAAAACGGGTTTGTAGTTTTATATTCCCTACTAGGATCTGAATAGGGTATTCAGATAATAGCTGGATATAAATGCTAGATATAATTGCTAGATAGAAATGCTGAGAATGACTAATCAGCAAATTGTACTTTTAGGCTTGCCCAGACACACATTCTAAAGGAAATTATTGCTATAAAACATTTTCCATTTAATCCCTTGTGCTCTCAGCTCTTCGAGGCTGCTTGAGAAAATTAAAAAAAAAAACCAACAAAACAACAACCCAACCCCAAACAAACCCAATCAGTAAATAACTGAGAAGCAAGCTCAGAAACAGGGTGCAATTGAGGTCTGTAGTAGTCATTATGTACCTGGAGGTTACCCTCCTCATCATCATCACCGTCACTGTAGTCGGTAACTGGCTGTGAAATGGTGACTGCTTGTGGTTTCTTCCCTAATTGTTTCCAACAGTTGGAATCGTTTTCTGTCATAGCTTCCTTACAGGCACCTTGTTTCTTCAGTTCTTTCCTATCCACTCGCACCCTTCAAAGAGCCTTAGTGCCAATGTTTAATGTCATTGTATGGTACGTAAAATAATTAGGAAGTTGCAAAGGTGCACCACTCCGTCAGGCAGGACCTCTGCTGATCGAATCGATCCTCCTGTGGCTTCGTGCAGCCGGAGGAGCTCGCCAGTCTGGCAGCTGCTCCAGGCAGCTACGGGCAGTGGCCAGCAGCTGCCAACATCTGGGCAGCTCACTGCCCTCCTCCCAGGTTGCTTAGTGTACCACAACACCGGGGAAGCTGCTGAGGAGGACATCAGGCTCAGCTGGGCCCAGAGGTTTATTACCAGCACAGAATACTAATAAACATTAACTTTCCTGCGTAGGGAATTGGTTCTGGTGGTGTGATCAGAGCTTTGCTGATAGGGAGCCAGTGATGGTCTTTGCAGATGAAACGTCACTAGGCAAAGTCTCATCTTACCTTGGTTTAAGTTGATACAGTTGTAAAGTAGTAATTTCTTGGGTTAAGAAGCCAGCAGCTCTGTTCTTCCTTCCTTCCTCAGCAGCATGAAATCAAAAGATTATTCTTTTTTCATTATTCCTAATCCAATTCTTCAGTGGAAATGGATACTCTTTTTATTGAATCCATTTATTTAATTGCTGCTGCTGGAAAGCTATTTCATTGCCCACAAGAAGCTAGAAAAGCTTGGGTGTTTTCCCTTTTGTTGGGGTTTAAGGTTTGCTCAGGGGAAGGATGGCGCACAGGTCTGGTAGAGATCTTGTCTTACTGCTGTGCCCGTCCCACTCGATGCGCTTTGATACTTGGGGGTGACAAAATGAGCATCCTCCCTCCTCACCTGTGCTCAGCATCGTGCACCTTGCTATGGAGGGCTTTTTGCTTGGCTCAGAATATCTGTGCCCCATCCGTCATCGGACCTCTCTTGTTAAAGATGTGTTGTCCTGAAACCTACTGATTGCTCCGTGGTGGGTGATGGAGCATCCAGGGGGGTGATGGCAGCTTTGCTGCAGATAAATACAGAGAAACCCCCAAGCCCTTCACTTCTATGCCATGTTGATAGCAGTGGAAAAATCTTCAGATGTGAGCCCTCAAACCCTATTCCTGGCAGCATGGAGCCAAGTCGGATACAAGTAACCTTCTCAATCTCCCTCTCTCCCCTCCTGGTTATCAGCCTCCCTTAGTTGCTTGTATTTTGGGCAGCCGGGCAGGGTAGAGCAATACTGCAATGATGGCTGTAATCACCTTGAATGACCCTGGTTTCACCCCTGAGCAGACAGCATTGGGATTTTCTTCCCCTAGAGTAATTTCCAAGCACAGGCCCTTAAGACAGAGCTGAAAAGCCTCACTGAGAGATGGCTCTGTTCCTGGAGTGCCTGTCCCTCCCCACGCAGCTGCCTGCTCTGTCTTGCTGCTTGATTTTTATTTTTTTTCCCCAAAAAAAGCCAAGCGTTGCCTGCAGGCCCCCTCAGATGGATGCTGCTGAGGAAGCGAGGGAAAGTGAAAGGAAGAAATAAGGGTTTGACTGCAGACACTGAAGGCAATTGTCATATTTTTTCCTTTGAAACCCAAGCAGGAGTTGGCTGGGATCTGTCAAGCTGTGAGTTCTCACACATTTGGTAAATATTTAGGGTCTGATTCACCACTGAATCACTCTGTTATTTTTTGGCTCTGTTCAGAGGATCTGCTCCATCACTGGGATAACACCAGCCCTCTGAGGTCCTCTCACCTTTGCATTTTAGCATCTCAAGGTCACGTGTGCCTGTTCTCACAGTCCCCCATCAGGATGGGGCGATGGTGTCATCCCTGCCTGGCAGAGGGACTCAGAGGCACACTGCTCACAGGCACCCGAGTTCTTGTCTGACACTAAACCCAAAACAGGTCAAAAGCTCCATCTGGTGAGACTCCATTGTGATGTGAAAGGGTCCACACCTAGCAGAAGGTGGTACACATGCACTATTGCAGCCTTTCTTCTGGGACTCACCATGTTGTAGGTGCCCCTTGGTGCATGGTGGGTCGTAGACCAGCTCCTGCTGCTGCAAGGTAATCACTTAATCACTGCACTGCTTGTCTTGCTGTACCTGGGAGGGCTTCTAGGGGGATGACAGAGGAGCATATTTCCCTCCAGAGATGACTGTGGTCAGTGTTTTGCACGTACAAATCTCTGCTTTCATCGCAGGTGGAAGACAGCATGATGGATGTGTATGATCTTGTGTACGAGGAGGTGAGGAGGAACACCTCCAGCTTCAGGAGGCACGAGCTGACTGCCATCCACGAAGCAGTAAGTTGTCTGTCAGCCTTAGCAGAAAACCTTGCCCTGGGGTATCTCCCCAGTGGTTTTGGCAGGCTGAAGCTGATGCCTGTGCTCTGCCTCATGGATGTTGCAATGACATTTTCCCTCCGCATCCTCCAGTCTGCTGTGAAGTCTGCTCCTGCCTTCCTACTCTTCCTTTTCCAGGTTTGACCAACCAGATTATCCACAGGAGGGAAGGGAAGCCTACCTGAGCATCACCGTGATGCAAGATCTTCAAAGCTTCTGTGCTCTAGCTGATATATATGTTGTCTGTCTCAGCAGGCCCTCTGCTCCCTATCTGTGGCGTGAGAAAATGGGTATACACCTCTCTGGTGTCCCGTGTCGGGTAGAGGGGAGAGTAATTACACATTTTCCAGCATAATTATTTAGACTTGGTTATTTCTGTTTACCCTTGAGCCTATGGCTGAGGAGTACTGGAGGCTACGTGGCCTCTCGCAGTGCTGGAGGCTGCTAGCAAGCTCCACAAAACCAGCACCCAGGACGCTGCTGGCGCAGGGCACTTCTCTGTAGCTCAGTAGGTGGTTAAGGGTGGCTGCCCAGAGCACAGGGAAGACGCTTACTCTCAAAGCCACGGGAGATGAGTGAGGATGTTCCCTGTCGTGAGAAACTCCCGAGTCCCCACTGAGTAAAGGAGGTGCCATCTCCTGGCGCAGCAGGGCCTGTTTGGGTAGTGAGTTCATGGCACACAGCGGGGCTGGATGGGAAGGTCAGCTCTGCTCGCCTGTTTCCAGACACCTCCCACACAACTCCTTTTATCCTTCTGTGTTTTCTTAAATCATGATAACAAGTACTTTCCAAAGCCGCTTTCATGCGTGCTTCTCAAAATGCAGAAAAGGACAAATGTTTCTCATTGCAACAGTGGTGGTGACCCTGAGAGCTGTGACCACGCGTGGTGGTGCTTGTTCTGCAGCACTGAGGAGCAGCACCCCAAGAGCCCAGCTCGTCAAGGAGAACCAGGCACAACACCCACCTTCCTCAGTTGCTTGGTTTAGCCACTTTAATTGATGGAGAAACAGTCCTTTATGTTTTCCTTCTGCTAGAGCTCCAAGATGGCCAGTTCACCCTGGCTATAGCAAACCAGCTCCACAGTGGGTGTTGCAGGGGACCGCCTCAACCCATAACAAGTGCTGGAAACGTGAGTCTGTGCATTTCTGGGTTTTCCAGAGCAACCACTGCGAGACCTGGTGTGACTGTGGAGGGAGGGCTTGGCCCCAGCTCCGGGCAGCACTCCTAGAGGAGCACGGGCAAGTTTGGGGCCAGATTCATTCCCTTCCTCTGAATTTAAACAACTCCATTGCTGCAGTTGTCGATTGTATAGCGCTGCGCTTCGCTCCTCGCAGGCCTGGTTGTATAGCCCTGCCTGGGGTGGCAGGGAGGAAGGGTGGCACATCGCCACAGCAGCTGGCAGACCTCTCCCTCTCTTCCAGTTCCTGTGCTGTGGGAAGCACTCCCCATTTGGGGACACGGCCAACATTGAGAGCAAGACATGCCCACCTGGCCCAGCACGTGATGCAGGACAGGTAAGGGAAAGGTTTCTTCCACCCCACAGTGGGGTTGTGTTACTACTCACTAACTGTTAAAACCTCACTGGTGTTTAAGTGTTAATGAGTTGTGGCTTTTTCATTGATTGGGGTTGCTATGGGTTGGGGTTTGTTGTTTTAATAAGGAGTCAGCTCACCGGCCGGAGGAGCCTGGGTGGATCAGCAGGACTCACACCTGCAGATGTGGTTTCTTTTGTGACTTTAGAAAGCCTTCAGAATGTTTGTGTGTGCAGTCTGTCGCTTCCCTCCAGCTTCCTCCTGCATGTGCAGAGTGTGAGATACCACGGGCATGTATCTAAACTCAAAAAAACCTGATGGACTTTTCCATGTGACACTGGTTTCTGAGCCTTAAAGTGTCCCATTAACAGCAAATGTGGAATTCGCTGTACTCCCCTTTCCTCATGGCATTAAATAGGTATTAAAATGAGAAATTCATGAAGCAGGATGAGGATGCTCAGCAGTAGCTTCATCAAGTACACTTCATTCCTGCTCTCTGCAGTATCTCAGTGAAGTTGATGGAGAAGACACCAGTATTAGACTGTCTTTGTGCTGAAGCTGCAGCGTAGACTTCATACTTTCTGAGCAAATCTATTGTATGATTATTTTTCCTCCGCTGGAGTAGCCAAATCAGCTGAAGTAGCTAAAGCCACCAGCATCAGTATGTATGTTGTCCCTAGGAAAAACAAAACCATGTTGCTACAGCTATACAAAAACATTGTTGTTAGGCAAAGACGTCAAGCGCTAAGAGCATGCTGTGCTGCGCAGTCACGTGCCAGCCCACGGGGCAGCGTTTCAAGGCGCTGCCTCTGGAATGTTGCATCTCAAAGCAAGGTTGGCCTTGGCTCAAAGAGCAGGAAGGGAGAGCAGAGCAAAACCCAGCACCGTAGGGTGACTCTGTTCCCCCAGCGAATGGTTTGTATTTCCTCCGGTTGTGAGCCGGGGGAGGTGGATGGGAGAATGCATTATGCAACCCAGGGAACCACAGAGTTTGGTAGCTGCACTACATTTGCTCCTGGCTTTGAGTGCTCTTACCTCACTCTGCAGATCACTTCATCAGGGGCATGCTCTTGCATTTTTGCGATGGCTGTCTTGGCTAACACCTCCTGGATTTCCATGGGGCCACTGCCATGCTTAAGGCTAATGTATATTAATGCTTGAGACACCTTGCAAAATTCAGCTGTTCATTAGTATCTTTGGGGAATGTATTTAGCATTATGTGCTTTGCTTTTCCATCTTTATTTCCCTCTTTCCATTTTCCAGCGGGTGGAAAGAAAAAAGCTTCTGCATGACCACACTTACCAGGGCTCACACACATCCCCACAGTCCAGAACCCATCATGCCAAGAAAAGTCATAGGTGTATTGTAGTAACAGAAAATATACTGCAGGTGTGTGTCTTCCCAAGTTGCACCAAGCGGCAGAAAAAAGGAGAGCTGCCCGTGGAGCAGCCCAACTGTGCAGTGCTGTGTCCCCCCCTTGCCTCTATTTGGGGTCATGGCATTGCTGTGGGGGGATGAAGCCCCCCCACCCCGCTCCAGGCTGCTGCTGTGCTCCAAGGGGTGTCTCTCTCCTCCCAGGACTGCCTGCAGGAGATCCAGGACTTCCTGAAGAAGCACATGGACTTCGTCTCCACCATCCTGGGTGTCACCATCGGCTTCACGGTAGCTATGGTTGTTCCTTTGCATTTTGGCCCCTAGAGGCATGCTCCAACGGGGGAGGCGCATTCTAAATTAGCCCCCAGGAGCTGGGATTCCAGGTGATTCTGGAGACTGGCAGCAGAGAAACAAGTGGTGGCAGAGGAAAATTAAGACAGGGCCTGGACCTGTCTTGGCCAGGCTGATGGTCGGAGGGGTTTTCCTGCAGGAATAGGTTCACTGCATGGATTTTCTGCCCAAACTAGGGGCACAGCAGCGGGGAGCAGCAGTGTTTGTGTTTCATCTGCCCAGGCTCGCCTCCACGTCTTCTCCTGCAAGCGAGACGCCTTGTCGCCTGGCACAGGGCTTGCGGATCACTTGGGAAGCCAACAACAAATGTGGAAAAGGAGATGCAGTAAAAGTTCCATACTTTAGGAAACTTGCTGCCTCTCCTCGCCCAGTGCTTGCTGGCTGCCTTCCAGCTCAGCCTGGGAAGTCGCTTTGTGCGGCCAGAGCTGGAAGGTCTTGAAAGCTACTGAGCACCAGCAGTGAAGTGGAGAGCTGTGCAGGAAGGGGAAGGAAGGTCTCATCCTATTAATGACCACTAACAAAGCTGGTAAGGTGCATGTCGGGCAGTGGTGGGTGAAGCGTGGGCTTGTGAGGCTCAAGCTGAGAAGGAGAGGGGCAGAGCGTGTGGCTTGGGCTCCCAGGAGCCGTCTTCCAAGGAGGATCTTGCAGACTAGGGTTAGGATCATCTTGGGTAGAAACGGTCTGTACTGAATTTGAGTCTTACATAGGGAAGGACAAAAGGAAAAATTAAATGCTGTAAGAGGAGCGTGTCCGTCAGTGGTGAGGGGGCTTGGTGGCTGCATGGGGACAGTCCCTTTGGAGCTGGAGAACACTGCAAATTAAAACATATGCCCACCCACTGCTTGACAGAGGTTTATCGCTGTAATTACCTCTACACGAGGGCCCTGCATGTGTGGTGGGGCACGCCAGGAAAGCGTACACACCAGCAGACTTACTACTTCACCATGAAGGGAAGTTTGGTCTGCTGTGATACCTCCATGCTGCTCCCCAGCTGGGACATCTTTCCCTGACTGAATGTGTCTTTGGAGATTTATTTTTTTTTTTAACTACTTGTGTCCACCTTGGCACAGTTATGGGTTAGAAGACTCTTCTTCATCTAAACAAAACCCAGAGGAATAAACACTTTTGTATTTTATACTGCTAGCAGTAAATTAGGAAAGCCATCAGGCGTTGCTATGGGGCTATAAATGTAAAGTCATGTGTGAATATTTGGTGTCGCTTTCCAGTTTTTCTCAGGTATAGGAGGAATTTCACTGCAGCTATATTCAGACAAAAGAGGGAGCGTTTTTATTATATATGGTTGGGTTTGGTTTTTTTTTCCACAGCTTGATGCTATAGCCAGATAAGGCAGCTATCTTTGAAGTGTGTGTGAGAGGAAATCTCACTGCACAGTTCCCTATTGTGATGGCAGGGTGCAAAGGAAGCGCGCGATGAGGGTTATAGCTGCTCTGATGTCACTGTCCCTCTGCCAACAATGCACACATGTCCCCACATCAAGCTGCAACCAAAGGCGCTTGCACGTTAAGGCAGACTTTGAGGAAGAAGCATGTTGTTGCAGCCCTCGTCATCCTTCCCACAGCAGCCTTACCTTTGATACGTTGCCCGTGTGAATCCTGGTGTGTGATATACGAGGTAGAATATCACAGTGCAAAGGAAGTATACTGTCCTCGGCATTTCCAACTGTGCACGTGCATGGGGCAGGGGTTGGATATTGTTAGGGCTTTTTGTTTTGTTGGGGATTTTTACTCCAAACAATGCATGAGGTTTGGTGGCGGTTTTTTGTTTTTTCTCCCTATGTTATTTTTACAGAAGGCTATTATGAGAGAGATATGTTTGTTTGCGTAGAGGAATGTTTTGTGGCAGGAATTTGAAATTTGAATTTCCTAGTTTCGTCTCATTTCTTGGTATTTTTAGGACTGGGTTTGAGTTGTGCTGTCTTAATTTCAATCAGATGCTTTAACCACGTGTGTGTGGGGATTTTCTCTGATGCTGGAATTGATGTTCACCATTTCACTGAAAAACAGCTCTCAAGAAAAATGTAGCATCCCGATACATAAATTCAGAAGTGCCAAGTGGACTAATGGGCAACATTTCTGATCGCATATCTGCACAGATGGAGCATCATAATCAGTGTGGCATTTAATTGTTTGTCTCATTTATTTCCTTTTAGGTTTATGGGATGATCCTGACTTCATTCCTCTGGTTCTCCATCCACTTCAGCAACAACCTGGACCGGAAAGGCAAATATATCTTACGAGAAAGGTAGAGTCCCATCACCTGGGCATCTCTACCAGGTCGAGCCTGGTGCAGGAGGATGTCTGAAGTCACCCACAAAACCCCCCAGGGAAGGCGTGTGGGGCAGGCGGTGGGACGCATGTCTTGTGTTTCCCCTTCCTGCACTACGAGTTGGTGTGTGTTTCCAAGCTGGTCAGAGCAGACGATGCTCTGTAGAGGAACAGCCCCACACCTTCACCAAAACCAGACAAGGACTGAGACATGCACCTGGGCTCGGACGTGCAGATTGCCTCGCCGGGGGACATGTGGGCTGTAGCTCCACAGGCAGGTCACAAACAGAGTCTTATGGCAAAAACAGAGAGAAAAGCCCAGCAAAAATCAAATCACAGCATTAAAACAAACTTCGCTTGCACTGCCGTCTGAGCAGTTCCCTGTGACCCCCAAAGATGCAGTGTGTCTAGGAAGATGGCTTTGGATCACAGCCCAGGACCGATCCGGTGCTATCAGCAAATACATGGACACAGAGTGTGTCATTGCTGATGGGAAATGTGCTCTCCTAGCCTGGACACTCATAATTATTGACTTTGGGCACATGCTGGATCATGCTCAAGTGTGTAAGCATCCAACGACCATCTCCTGTTTTTCTCCCATTTTCAAATATTGCCAGATTTACAGCGCTTCTGGTAGAAATCAGGGCAAAAATCAGAAAGCACTAGCTTTGAAACAAATGACCAGAATAAGGACAGATCCCTCTGTTATTCCTCCTTGCTAATGCAATACAACATTATTTTTTAATTCTGAGGATTTAGTCAACCTCCTAGAGCTTAATGCCACACTGATCTCACAGGGGCTTGTTCAGCTTCCAGCCTTAGCCCTGTGTATATCTAGTTTCACTAACCCACCGTGCTGCTGTGCAATACAAAAGGACTTTGATATTACACGTAGATGCATGACTGAAGTTTAAATCTGTAAGAGAACAGGACTGATCTCCAGCCAGGTCAAACAATACAATGTCCAACTCCACGTCCTCTTTACATCACCTTATCAATAATAAACAGAAATTTTAAAAGCCTCAATCAGCTGAAGAACTCAGCTCTCAGTCTAGCTCAAACCTCAGCTCCCTGGTGTGCCTTGCCCTCATTGTGAGGAGGCAGAGCTGCTTCTGAGCTGAAACCCATCATTGCAATAGATTTAGCACCTGCTGGAAAACCTGCTGGAAACTACATGGCTATGTGAAATGTTTGTTGAACCAACAACAGCCTTCACCCCTCTCCTTTGTTGTGGCTTTTGGCCAGGAAAAGCAGTAAGTAGCAATTGTTTATTGAGATAAATGTGGAAACCCCCATGCTGAAGTTCAGGACAGGTCCTGGCCCTCAGGCAGGGGCTGCTGCACGTACAAGAACAGCAGTACAGCACCTGGTTAGCATTTTAACATGGCTGCAAATATCTTATATTGGAAAGAATTACATTGAGGGGGGTGGGAAAGGTCTATCGCTCTTCATCCCACTCCCTTGGAACCAGTAGGGCTTCACCACTGACTTCACTCAAAGCAGGATCAAGTTCAAACTGCTTCGGATTATTCTTCAGGCCACCTCCTGGCAGTCACCACCACTCCTTGGTCTAACAGGGATTTAGTGCTGATATGCACTTGCCAACATACCTGCTTTTTAGCAGTGGAGAAAGATTCACTTCCATCTATACGGGTAATGTTAAGTAAATCCCTCTCTAGAGAGAGACAATCTCCCCTGTGATCTCCAGCTGGTCTTGTCCAGGCCACTGCTATTGTTATTCCTCAGGCCAGCTGGCAACTCATGTGACTCATGGTTGCTTCAGTACAGATGAATTTCTTGCAAAAGGCTGTCATTCCTTCTTCTGCTGCCGTGCATGAGGCTGCCTGCATTGCTCAGGGGGTTGCGTCATGGGAGAGCCCTCAAGTAATTCTTTCAGTGCTGGGAAGAGATATTCCCTGGGCAGCTGGCGCTGGCCTGTCCCAGAACCCAAGAGGGAGAGGATGTCAATGGTCCTTTGGAGGAAAAGGAGCTGCTCATCAGACTCGTCCTACCCTTGACCAGCTGCTGGGGCAGCAGGCATGTACCTCACGCAGAGTAACACAAGCAGGGGCAGGAAAGAAAAGCTTAAGGACACATTTAAGCACTAAAGACTTAAGTATCTGTATGGAAGATCTCTGCAGTTCCACTTTTTTGAACACTAGGTAGTCAGGTCTTGCCCCACCGCTCTGTGATGAAGTTCTACCATGTCAAAAAACATTAGAGATTGAGCAAATCAGTGGCACGAGTTATCAGTGTGGGTTACCTGCTGAAGTTGCATCAACTTTAAAGTCAAGTAGAAAAGATCTCCAGTAAAGCTTCACCACCAGGACTGCTAAAGCTTTAGGTGCTCCTCCTTGCCAGGTCAATTTTTGATGTAAAGGGATTATTAGGGACAGGAGTAGCATATATATGATAAAGAAACCTATTGCATCCCTCTCCCTTAGCTCTCACATCCCTTTAATCACTTGTGATGGCTCAAACTTCATGAGAAGCAGCAGGTGCCCTTTCAGCACTGGCCCTGTAGGTGTGCTCATGCCTAGCTGTGGTTTTCACACCTCTGCAAATATTTCTGTGGTAGTGGCAGCAGGGGTGAGAACATGACCTGCACCAAACCATCTCACGAGAGGATAATGTGCCTAGACAAGCATTGTTTCTTCTTCCCAGTAAGCAGCAGACTGGAAGCATGCAATTTCTTGTCCCAGGAAGCTGGAAGTCCCTTTTCTTCCTCCAATAGCCAATAGGGGTTTAGGTAAATTTTTTTGGCTACAAAATAATCCAATAAACTGTAAAAAAAACCCCGAAGCCCTTGTTCTGTATGTATGCGCTGGCTGTCTTGTGATCTTTGTTCCCATTTCACCTGCTTCTGGAGTTCCCCTGCAAGGAGCAATTATCTCTAATGAGCGGGTGGGAGAGCAGTGCTCTGCTGGACAAGCTCTTCTGCCAGACCTCCTGCTGCCCTGCTGTGGCATCCCACCATCATTTCCAGCAGCAGGAAAGCAGATACCTTCAACTCCTTGGCTTTTAGAAACCTGTTGCAGAGAAGCTCAGAGTTACCATTTTGTCCACGGTTGTAGAAACGGCAGCACCCAGGGATGGCTGGATGGAAGCTGTGAGGCAGGTGGCTGTTGAGTGTTTTTTTTTTACACCTGTGCCAACAAAAAATCCCTGTCCTGCAGGTGCTCGCACTTGCTAGTCCCTAATTTGCTGCTTGCTATAGGCAAATTACAGCTCTTACGCAACCAGAGCAAAACCTGGGGAACCTATTTGTAAGCACTGCTGAGATTTACCCGATGTTGAGAAGAGCAAGAGAGAGATTTTGTTGGGATAAGAACGCGGAGTTGAGCAGTGGGGATGCAAGGGCAGCAGCCAGGCTGGGGGACACCTGCAGAGCCAGTGAGCCTTCCCAGGGCTTGCACAAGGGGATGCTGGTTGTTACAAGCATGTCAACACTCACTCTGGTAGGAGAGAAATCCCTATTTATGTAGGCATGTGGAAGAGGGGGGAAAAAAGAGACCAAAGGTGCAAATTTCAATATTTTGCTGTGAATTGGCTCCAATTAATGATCAATTATTTTCAGAAATTATCAATTAGCTCCACTAAGGTTACCTGGGCAATTGCAGTTCGGCCTCTCTATGGGTATGCATTAGCTTGTGCTCACGAGTTTCCTTTTGGTTTAGATAAACACCCAGCTCGGAGGACACGGGAAGAGAGAGCAACCTAAGGCCAGGGGGTTCATTCTGGGGCTGGGGAGCAGCAGCCCCCGGCAGCAGCAAAAACCCGTTTGTGCCGCTCTCCATCCTTCGCTGCCCACACACGGCTCAGGCCTTGCTCTGCCAGCGGGAGCATTAATTTCTCCTGAGGCTTTACATGGGGCTTGCCGCATGCCTGTGGGTGGCCTGACCACAGCTTGCTCAGGAGCCAGGGGAGCTTTCCCAGCACCTGCTCCGACAGCAGCAGATGCTGCTTTTTCAATCTATTGCTCGGGCAGAACTGCAGGTGAGCGGGGCACAGCTTTGCATGGCAGCCGAGGGCTGCTGCAGGTCGAGCTTTTCCACTACCCGGAAAAAAATCTGAGGAGCTCAGAGCAGTTGTGAAAAGCCCAGGTTATGCAATTTGCTGACTCTCTAGAGGGATTTGGTGGAGAGGAGAGCGGGTGGGTATCTTTCAGCCTCCGGGTGTGCTGGCTTGGTTCCAAAATGTTCTGCTGTTTGCTGCCCTATTGACTGCGTGTCTGCTAGTCCCCACTGCCCTGCAGTACAACTTCCTCCTGCAGCGGCCTCTTGGTTGTGCTCCTCTGATTCACGCCTGCAGCAAGCTCCTACAGGAGATGCTGCTGACCAAGTCCTTCCAAAACCTTATAAACTGGCAACTTTGAGTGGACCTTTGCAGCACTGGAGTGGTGAGGAAGCCATCTCCTGCCAAGGTGAAGCTGCATGTCCAAGCTGCAGACATAGGAAATATATATTTTTTTAATAAATAGCTCATAGATGTATTTTTTTTTTAACAAGACACAGAATCAATGCGTTTGCAAAAGCAACAGGCTATAACTCTCTAGAAATGCAGCCAGAGGTGGTAGATGCTCCATGTGGGAGATCTCCGCCAGCACCGCTAAAGGAGGGTAACGTCAGAACCTGCTTTGAATACCCGGTCAGATCACACATGCCACACATCTCACGTGAGGTGTCTGCAGTTTTCTCTTTCAGTAAAATGCTATACTGGGGTAAGAAGAGATTTTTTTTTTTTAACTGTGTAGTTCCTCTTCTGGGAAGGTGAGCAATTGGCAGCGAGCATCATCCCTGCCTGCTGGGAGATGTAGCACTGTGGGGATGGCGGAGGAGAGCACAGGAGCGAGGAGGGGGAGCCCCAGAGCAGCCTCTGAGGCTGTTTTGGAAAAACAGGCAGTGCGTATTTTGCAGCTTCTGACTGTAGCTGCCAAACCCGTGAGCAGTTGCAGGCCCGGTGGTGAGGCTGCTCCCCTCCCCGCCGTGCTGGCCCTCTCATCCCCAGCACAAACCCAGTGCCGACTTCAGTCAAACAGTGTTTTGGGTGTCCATCAAACAACTCAATGCCTGGCAGCAACCTGGGTATCTACCCCTGCCAGGAGGACCTCGAGGAAAAAATACCCATCCCTTTATCTGGAAGAGACACAGGGCAGACTCTCATGTTGCAAGGAATCAGCACATCTTGGGAGAAATACTTTCAGCTAAGGTGCCCACTCACTGCTAATGCCCTCCCATCCACCAGATGCTATTCCCTTAGACTCCAGCAAGTGAAAAAGAAAGGTCTTTCCCAGTATTTTTGCCAGGGAGATGCATATCCCTGCGTTGCTCTCCCTGGAGCCTCTGCAGCGGCTAGCTGGGTTGCTTATGTTCTCCCAAGGCAAAATCCCCCCTCTCCCCCCTCAGCATCACTAAGTGCTATTGTTTAACCCCTGTGTGCACCAGCTTGCCCACGGACGTGCTTGCTTTCATTTTAGCCCCGTTACATCAGCAATAAGCTATTCCAGTCTTTATTCCCCTACTAATGAATTATACATTGATTATACAATAGAAGCTCTCTGCATCGATGGCCTGGGCTCTTGCTCTCCCACATGGCATCTCACAAAGCTCAACTAAGCCCAGCTGCAGCTTGGCCCTCTCTGATGACCGAAGAAAAACGAACGTGCGCTTTTTGGTCTCATGAGCTGCAGAGCCTGAGCTGAGAAGAGGGAGTGTCTGGGCTGGATGGGGAAACCCACTCAGGTTTGCTCTCCTTCTGCCCTAGCTCCAGTGGGATCCAATGCTGCCCTTCCACACCACCCACCCCCTGCTTCCTCCTTTTCTTTATATAACCTGACCCATCACCATAGATACGTTGACATAAATATTTAAAGATGGCAGAGAGACAGACCACGCAGACGGGAACCATTTGTTGAGTTTATTAGAAACAGAAACTTCAGGCACAGCTACAGGTCTCTGCCTGCCGCATCCCTCAAAAACGCTGCAAGGCAAACACAACCCCTGGGCTGTCATGGGGCTTCGGCTGAATTTGCAGAACCGGGCACAAGGATTTTTGGATGAGCAGGCACCAGCTGCTCTCACTGGAGCACGGGAAAGATATTCTGGAGATGTCCCCTTAGATACAGGGATGAGATTCTTAATGTTATTTTTTCCACTCAAAATGAAGGCGTCGGCTGGCTCCCCAGGGGCACAGGTGGGCCTCTCCCAGGGCGCTGGAGCTGGCAGTCCATGCCCTGCAGCTTGCCCTTGCTCAGCCCCTGCCTTTAAAATCAGTATGGCAGGGTGTTGGCTGCCTAGGAAGTTATTCTTATGCACTCTGGGACTATTAGCCTCCCACAGGATGAAATTCTAAGCTTCTTTTCATGTATCTCCAAAATGTCCTATTTAAAGATTTTTGGTGATGCTGCTGTTGGTTTTCGGTTTTTTTGACACCACAGGTAAATTGAAAATCCAGGCAATTTTTGTCATATTTTCCACGGAAAATAAGATGTGGTGGTTAAAAGCTAACTAGGACCTCACCCGCATTTTACTCTCATGGTTTGTCCCTCATTTTTGAGCCGCTGTGAGGAGGGCAGGGGGGTTGCCACACAAGCCCGAGCCATGCGGCTGGGGTACCACCTCAGTGGCCATCCCGTAGTCCCCAGTGGGTGAGGGACTGCCATCTGCTCTCCCAAATCCCCTGGGGACCCTGGATACTAGGTGTTTAGAGCCTGCCTAGATGCTAATCATTTCACACCCTGGTCGACAGCTCTCCAGGCACGCGTATGAGGTGGGGAGGGCACAGATCCATTGCTTTTTATAAAACACAAGGGTTTTGAAGGTGGAGCTGCTGGAAAGCTAGTGGGCATCTGCCAGGAAGAATCAGGCTAGAAATCCCAGGGATTGGGTTCTCCGAGTCCTGCTGGTAGGGACCCGCCTGCTAAACCCGGGCGGGGAGGGAGCTCAGCCACATCTGCTCTAACGGACCCTTGTGAGTCATACCCAGAGAAGTCAGCTACATCAAAACCCACAGGCATGACACTGACTTTATAAACAGGTTCACAAAAAAACCCCAACAGCCCATGCTCAGCAGACA